CACACACACACACACACACACACACACACACACACACACACACACACACAATACAGGGAGATGTGTCTCACCTGTAACTTTGGATCCTAATTTTTGTTTGGGTTTTAAGACACATAGCCATGTATGTGTATGTATGTGTGTGTGTTCACACACACATATACACAAATATATACAAATATATAACACACATATTCTCATACATATTCTATATATCTAGATATACATATCAGATACATCTATAACCACCAACTGATTCAGCGTGGCTCTCAGACTTTAGGGTCTATGTGGTTTTATGCCAAGGTAGACACACGGAGGTGGAACATTTCACAAATCCTGTGGCATTTGAGAATTCTGAGGCAAGAAAGAAACTCAAAATAAGGGGACCTCGGGGGCCCTTGAATGCAGCCCTTTAAAGAAACCAGATAAAGCTGTCCACAAGGCCTGGCAGAATTCCTTTGGATTCAGTCACTCAGGGTGTTTCTATCAACTTGTCCCCCTTTCTCCTGGTAGGGGAAGGGATCTATTTGAAGACCTCTAGTTACATAGAACTCATCACCTCCCAAAGCAGATTATTATACTTTTGAATAGCAATAAAAAACGTAGAAAAGAAGAGTCATCTAGCTAGACTGGTATATAGGTTCATGTTGAGAGGCAATGGGACGTAAGGGTGGGGGGCCTTGAATGCCAATAAGGAGATTGAATTTTATCTAGGAGTTACCAAAGATCTTTGAGTGGGGGTGGAAGGGGGGGTAACATGATCAGAGATGTGTGTTAAGAAGAGGACCCAGGCAGCCGGTAGAGTATGGAAAGATATGGGTCAGACAACAGTACATTTCTGTGGTTTCATTACTGGTTGAATAGTCCACGGCTCCATCAACTCAAAAGGAGATCTCCAGGGGAGTTCCCAAGGATCTGCCCCTGCCCCTGGACTGTTCACGCCTCTTATCAATTACTTGGATGAAGTAGAATATAGATGGCATTTTTCTTTTGATCCAGACTCATGGATGTAGGAATTCCTGGTGAGGAAACCCCCTCCATTGATGCCCAAAAGCAGATTGGCAACAGCCCAACAACTTAAAAGAGAGGCAGAGAGCCCCCTCCTCCCCAAACTGGCCTCCCAAACTGTTGGTTGAGAGTACTGAGAGGTTAAGTGAGTTGCCCAGGGTCTCCCAGCCAATTTGTATCAGAAGTGAGACTTGAACCCAGGTTCATTCTGACTCTGAAGCCATTGCTCTATTCACTACACCATGCTGCCTGGCAGAGGTGGTGCTCTTGTCAAATTTGCAAGGACAAATAGCAAGGATACTGGATCCAAAGAGACCCAACAAGGATCCCAAATGATTTCAACTGGTTAGAATGTTTGGCTGAATTAAATAAGATGGAATTCAATAAGGGTAGATGTAAAGTCTTACACTTTATATCTGGGTTCCAGATATAAGCTTCACAAGAGCAAGGTGGGAGAACTGTGTTTAGAAAGCAGCTTGTCTGGAAAAAAAAAGATCTGGAGGTTTGTGTGGACCACAAGATCAAGTTGAGGCCACAGCACAACAGAGCAGCCAAGAAAGAGAATGCCATTTTGCCCTGACTCCCATCTGCTCTGTGCTGCCCACATTCACAGAGCTATATTCCACTTTGGGTGCCATTTTAGCAAAGCCGTTGTTGGCCGAGTGAGCATCCAGGTTGATTAAAAGGCTTAAATACAGCAAGCACTTAATAAATGTTTGTCCAATTGCATTGAGAGACCTTGAGATCATTCCATATGAGGCTTGCTTGATGGCAGCGTGCAACATGAGACTTGGAGCATGCTCATTGTCATGTGGAAGAAAGATGAGACTTCTTCTGGCCCTTGAGAGCAGGACCCAGAGCCATGTGGGGCAGAAGATGGAAGAGAGGAGAAGGCCAATGTCCATAAAGAAAAGCATTCCTAACAGACAGTGGGCAGAGCTGTCTTGGGATGGGGGAGGCCCCACTCCTTGGAGGTCTGTGAGCAGAGGCTGGTTAAGCCATGCTTGGACTAGATGCCCCGGGGAAGAGTGCTTGCATCGCTGAGATTCTGCAAGCAAAGGTGGAAAGGCTGGAAGTGAAGGTGGGCAGCCCAACAGAGACAGGGACCCCGTAGCCTGAGGCACCCACAGGACTGCTTTGCCCAGCAGGGGGCGTCCTGAGGAGTGGGGCACAAATCAGTACAAATCAGGTAAGTCAAACCACACTTGACCAGCATGGGAGATTTAGTGAAATGGAAAGGAACCCTCTGGAGAAGTCAAGGGAAGTCAAGAGCCCTCCTGCCACTCTCTGGTTTATCTTTGGCAGGATTCAGATCAGATGTGCTGCCACCCGCAAAGGGCCATGGGCTGGGCTTCTCCTTTCCTTCAGAGAGAGTCATGAAAGTCTTCCAGTGGGGGCCACTTTGGGGGAGACTAGAGAGGAGGCTGGGGGCCCTCCACAGTTCTGGGATTTCCACTCTCTTCTTGGCATTTTGAAGGAGGAAAGGGAGGTGGGTAGGAATGCATGATCTGAGGAAGCGGCTACTTCCCTAGGTGGGGCCAGAGCGGGCAGGGGAGGACCAGGGCCCGGGTGCCAGCGTAGGGTCCTGACTCCTTTCTCTCTTCTGGCTCTGAGCCCACTGGCCACGAGTGGCTGGTTCTCCAGGCTATCTGTGGCAGGGCACTCTTGTCTGTTACCTCATCTCAGCCCGTGTTCCTTCTCTCAAGCGGGGCCATGGGTAGGGGACGTCTATGGAGGAGCATCCTCAGAGCTGTCCCCCTCAGGGGCAGGGGGCATGGTGGGCTCCTCGGGGGCAGCTGGTGTGGGCTGCTCTGTGGCTAGACTAGATGGGGAACCTTCACAGGGGTCAGGGGTTGAGGGAGGAGGACTGAGGACTGAGTCAGAGGACCGAGCTGTGGGGTGGGCCTGAGGTTGATCGGTCAGGTTTGGCTGGGGTTGGGCGGTAGGGTTCACTTGGACCTGGGTCATGGGGTTCAACCGGGGCTGGAGCGGGACTGCGGGCTCTGGCTGAGCCGGCAGCGAGGCTGCAGGCATGGCGCCCCTGAACCGCTCCTCAGCCAGAGCAGCAGCAAAGGAAGAGAGCATGGAATGGAGAAGGGCGCGGAGGTTGGCACTGGCCAAGACACAGAGGAAGGGGCTCAGGCAGCTGTTGAGTGCTAGCAGGTAGTCGGAGTAGACCAGCGCCTCCCAGAGGAAGTAGCCAGGGTAGAAGTCCCACAGGTAAGCCAGGTAGAGCAGCTGGGCGAGCTGGTAGGGCAGCCGGAGGACAATATAGGCCGACAGGATGGTGGCGGCCACGCGGGAGAAGCCGGCCGGGCGGGGCCCGGCTGTGCCGTCCTGCGGCTGCTGCCGGCGGCGGAGCCGGCAAGCTTGGATCTGGGTGAGCACGTGAGAGCCCAGGAGGAGGAGGAAGGGCAGCAGCCCGCCGAGGATCTCCAGAACCCGCAGGGGCAGCTCCTCGGTGTCCCAGAAGTCCAGGCAGATGACGAGGTCAGACCACCACACGTTGGCCTCGGGAAAGATGAGCCAGGGCACACTGAACAGGGTGGCCAGCACCCAGGCCCCTGAACACAGCCAGAGTGGCAGGCGGGACGGGCGATGGCAGGGATACCACCGAGGGAGAAAGGCCATCAGGCAGCGGTCGAGACTGAGCACGGCCAGCAGGAAGAGGCCTGAGGAGTAGGAGATCCCCCAGAGGGAGTAATAGAAGCGGCAGGCAGCTGTTCCAAGGGGCCAGTGTCCCTGCAGTCGAATCTCCATGATCTGGAAGGCAGTGGCCGCTAGGAAGAGGAAGTCCGAGATGGCCAGGCTGAGCAGGAAGAGGGCCGGACGCTTGCCAGCCCCGTGCCGGGCCTGGGAGCCCGCCAGCCATGCCATGAGCCCGTTGGCTGGCAGCCCCACCAGCAGCAGTGTGACCAGGAAGGCGGTGTCCCAACCGCCTTGGGGATAATAGTCATCGTCCAACTCAGATCTTGTCCTCCAGGGTGGAGCCAGCCTGGCACTGCCTGCTTCCATTGCTGGGGGGCCAGGCTGATGGGCCTGCAGGGCAGAGGGAGAGGAGAGAAGGGAGAACCAGAGGCTTTGGATGGAGGGGGGGCGGTGACGTACCAGGCCAGACCTTCTCAGCACCAGCTCTGGGCAAGGAGGGAGGATCTCAGTGCCAGTGCCCGAGGGAATGCCTTCAGCCCCAGAGCCCGGTCAGGCAGAGAGCGCTCTGAAGCCCTGGGAATCCTGCCCAGCTTTTTCCAGACACCTGACCCAGCTGTTAAAGGTGTTTGATTCTACTGTCCTAGGAAGACCTTGTCCTGTCTGGCTTTGGGATCCTTCCCAGCCTTTGGAAGGGCCATGCCATGAGATGAAGAGGGTGCTGGGCTTGGAGCCCAAAGACTTGGATTCAAATCCGGCCTCAGTCTGTGTCTAGCCACTGTCTCTGAGGATCAGTGTCCCCATGTATAAAGTGAGGACATTTGTACATCCACCACCAGCCACCAGTAAGCCGCCCCAAAGGCCTTGCGCTTCCTTTTCTGTGGATATATTGTTTCCCAGATAGAATGCAAGCTCCCTGAAGACAGGGAGTGTTTGACTTTTGTCTTTGTGTTTCTGTGCCTAGCACAGTGCCTGGGTTCCGGTGGCCGCTAATAAATGCAGGTTTGCAATCACAGAGATTCAGTGTTAGAGGGATCTGAAAGTCCAGTCGATCCAACTCTCGTTTATAAATGAGGAAACTGAAGCCCAGGGCGTGAAGGGACTGGCCCAGCTAGCAAGAATCTGAAGCAAGATTTGAACTCAGGTCTTCATCCCTCCAGGCACAGCATTATGGAGTCATTGGTGGGCCTTCTCCTCAACTCCCTCCCGAGGCCCAGCTTCAGAGGAGGGAGGAGACTGGGTGGGGCTAGGGAGCTCGTCAGCACCTGCCCAGCTTACAGTGCCCAGAGAAGGACGAGGAAGGTATCCTTGCCCAGGAGGTTCTGGAGGAGACAGGCCTTCCTCCTTTCCTCCCTCCCTCCCTCCTTCATCTTTCCTTCCTCCCTCTTTCCCTTTTGTCCTCTCTCCCTTCCCACATTCCTCCCTTCCTCCCTCCCTTCCCTCCCCTTTCCTTCTTTCCTTCCTTCCCTTCTTTCTTTCCTTCCCCCTTTCCTCCCTTCCTTCTTTCCTTCCTCTCTCCCTCTGTCCTGAGCATCACTTTACCCCCTCTGTAAAATGGGCTACATGACCTCTAAGGACCTTTGCAGACACTAGAATTCTTTTTCCCAAGAGCCCTTCCTGGAGGGGCTTCCAGATTAGTCTTCTTGGGATGATGGGTTTCCTCTGGGCCCAAGAGATAACATGGTACATAAGTCCCTAGCTTGGAGTCCTAGTTTAGGCCTGAGGTTCTCCTCCTGACTCAGCTGGGAGACCTGGGGCAAATCTCTCTCCCTCTCTGGGCCTCAGTTTCCTCCTCTGTAAAATGAGAACATGAGCCCGATGGCCTCTATGGTCCCTTCAACTCTAAATTTCATCATCCTTTGTTTCTGCCTCCAGCCTCCTGGTGGTCTCTGGGCCCCTGCTGGGGGGGGAATGGGTCGGTGTGGGAAGCAGGAAGCTCCTCTGGGTGGGGACACTCACCTACTAGAAGCCCTGTGTTAAAAAGCTGTCCCACCACACCAGACCCCTGCCTAGGAAGCTCCTCCTCAAACCTTCTGGTCAGAGGCCCCCTTCTCTCCCTCAGGTGTTCCAGGCCCTAGAGGAGGCCATGGCTGGGGATTCAGGGGGTAGACAGGCTTACCAGTGCGTGGGGAGTGGCCCCAGGGGCAGAGATGAGGATGGAGCAGAAAGCTGCCCACACACCCACACAGCCTGGCTTCTCTGCGTCTGCTCCCAGTTCCCCTGGCCGGGCAGTGAAGGCCTAAGGGGTGTGACTGCCGTCTGCCAGTCTGTCTGTCTGGGGTTGGGCTCTGGGTGTAGTGGACGGTAGCCCCGTGCACTTCTGCGGTGGGAGAGGTAACCCAAGCCGGGCAGGCCCATTAAACATTCATAGAGCTCCTCTCCTGGAGAAACCCTAACCCCAGTCCCTGCTGGGCAGTGTTCTGGAGTCAGGCTGCTACCCCCCTTCCCCCCACCCAAGCCCCTAGACCTGTGCTCATTCTGCCTCCGATCCATTCCCCTTGGGGAGAGCATTAGCACCCTAGAAATATCACCCCAGCTCTCTCATAGAGAGAGGCCAGGAAGTCAACATCACTGGGACGGATTCAGAGGTGTTAGGGGGAGCCAGGTAGAACCAAGTGACCCCCTGCATTCGTCATGCAGCTTATAATGTGCACCCCTTTGGCACCTCTGCCCCAAACATCCCTGAGATTGGCATTCAAGGCTCTTGACAGCCTCCTTGATTGCTGAATGCACAGCTCTATTCTAAGTGGTCTGGAGCCTTCTGTCCCTCTTGTAATTCCCCAATCTTGCCCTCCCAGTAGGGCTCTGGTGCCTGGGAATAGCAGGAGCCACTGCAGGGCAAGGTGGGAACAGCCATTCAGTCAGTCATGAGCATTTATTAAGCACCTGCTACTGCCAGGCACTGTGCTAAGCACTGAGTATACAAAAAGAGGCAAAGGGCAGTCCTTGCCCTCTCTCAAGAAGCTCGCAATCTAATGGGAGGATTCCCGCGGGGCTACTCTATTAGCATTGATTAGGCTTAAGGGTCACTGACTCTCAGAGCTGGCAGGGACCTCAGAGGGTACTGAGGCTCACTCGTGTCTGAGCAGGAAGTCCATAACACTCTCATCCAGCCTCAGTGACAGGGAACTCACTGCCTCCAGAGGCAGGCCATTCTGCTTTGGGTTCGCTCTCATTGGCAGGGAGCTTTTTCCTGACATCAAACTTGGTATGTCGGATGAAGCTGGGACCTCCCTGACTTAGGAGTTTCTGTGCCACAGGACTGCTGGCCACATCCTCCTGCTTGCCCCATGGACAGGTGTTGACGTTGATTGGACGCCAGCGGCACACGGAGCTATTGGTCACTCGCCAGCTCTGGTCCTACATCTCTTCTTTATGCAACTTTGCCTCCACGACAGTTGGTCCACGATATGCCACTTCTTACTGAGACCCACCACGTACTCCTTGAATGACCCACCATTCGAATTCCATAAATTCCAATGTTTCCAATGTCTCAGCCTTCAGAAACAGTGAATGGTGTTTCCTGGTTCTCAGTCAAATAGCTTTGCCAGAAAAATATCAGTGTTCATTTTTTTAAAATATTTTATTTTTTCCCAATTACATGTAAAAACAATTTTTAACCTTTGTTTTTAATTGGTGAGGCAATTGGGGTTAAGTGACTTGCCCAGGGTCACACAGCTAGCAAGTGTCAAGTGTCTGAGGCCGGATTTGAACTTGGGTTCTCCTGACTCAAGGCCAGAGCTCTATCCACTGCACTACCTAGCTGCCCCTTAACCTTTGTTTTTTACAATTTTGAGTTCCAAATTCTCTCCCACCCTCCCTCCCCTCCCCTCTCATTGAGAAGGCAAAAATTTGATAAAGGTTAAGAATAAGGTGTTTCAAAGATTTGTTGTTTCAGGAAGATGCTTGGGGCCGTTAAAGGCAGTCTCAATCAACTAGTGTATACTAAGTACCTACTATGTGTTAGGCACTGTGCTAAGTGCCAAGCATACAAAAAAAGGCAAAAGACAGTCCCTACCCTCAAGGAGCTCGCAGTCTAACTGTGAAGACAACATACAGACAACTATATACAAAGAAGACATCTCTGGGATAAATTGGGGGTAGTTTCAGGACTGTGAAAAAAGCTTCTTGTAGAAGGGGTGGCTTTGGCCGGGACCTGAAGGAAGCCAGGGAAGCTGGGAGGAGAAGATGAGGAGGAAGCAAGCTCCAGGCATCCGGGACAATCAGGGAAACCCTGGGCTCGGGAGATGGAATGTCCTTTGTGAGGAAGATCCAGGAGGCCCAGGGTACTGACCAGCAGAGCACGTGGAAGGGAGTGCAAAGGGAGGACGAGGCCAGGCTCTGAAGGGCCCGAATGCCAAACAAAGGATTTAATATTTGACCCTGGAGATGGTCAGGAGCCACTGGAGGTCAGTGACTAGGGCAGTGATGTGGTCAGAGCTGAGATTTGGGGAGATCACTTAGGCAACTGTGTGGACAATGGCCTGGAGTGAGCAGGGAGACCTCCCAGCAGCCAGTGTAGCACCTGAGGCAGGAGGTGCTGAGGTCCCTATTGTGCACAGTCTTTGACATCAGTGACACCATTCCACAAATAAAACAGCCCCTCCATCTCTAAGCTCTGGGCATTTTCTCAGGCTGTCCCCCATGCCTGGAAACCTCTCCCTGTTAACCTCTGCCTCCTGGCTTACCTGCCTTCCTTCAAGTCCCAATCAAAACCCCATCTTCCACAGGAAGCCTTGCCCAATCCCTCTTAATTCTAGTGTCCTCCCTCTCTTACCTCCTGTTCGTCCTGTCTAAAGCACGTTTGTACATGTACATATTTGTTTGCTTGCCATCTCTGGCGTGTGAGCTCCCGTGGGTAGAGACTGTCCTTTGCCTCTTCTTTTTATCCCCAGCACTTTGCACAATGCTGGTGCATAGTAGGCACTTAGTAACGGTTTATTGGCTGACTGACTACACCTGAGTGGTAGCAGCATCAGAGAGAAGGGGTATACATAAATCGAGAAATGATAGGGCATCGCTACTGGTTGGGTATGGGTGGTGAGAGTGAAGAGTAGAGCTTGCTGCCCAGGTCAGGAGCCTGGGTGACTAGGAGGGTGGTGGTGGTGGTGCCTGACCTCAGTAGGTCTAGGGAAGTCAGGAGGAGGGAAGAGTTTGGGGTGGGGATATGAGTTCAGCTTTGGACATGTTGAGTTTAAGATGTCTATGGAACACCCACTTCAAGATGTTGGAACGACAGTTGGAGATATGAGGCTTAGAGGTTAGGCTGGACAAGTAGATTTGAGAAAAGTCAGCAGAGCCGACAAGATCCCCAAGGGAAATGATACAGAGGGAGAAGGGAAGAGGACCCAGGACGGAGCTTTGGGAGA